ATTTAAGTCCAACAAAAATTTCTCATACCATTCAGCGTGACATGACCTGATTTCTCTGCAAGGCCAACTCCCTCCGAGACTCCTTTCATGGCCATTTTCTATCAAATTGTAGGAAAATATAGGGATGATAAAACGATTATTCCGTTGGGTTTTGGATAATTTTAGTTCAATTTTTTATTAATCAAATTATTAGAATAAAAAATCAAAATCGAACCAAACTCAAATTATTTTTTCAATTAATTCGGTTAAAGCCAATATTTTTTCTCATTGGGCTTTGGCTTTTGGGCCTCTAGCCAGCCTCCTCCATTTAGGCAAGCCCAAAACGACAAAACCAGCCCTATTGTTTGATGCTTTACCTCCCTCCAATTTATCCTCTTGTTCAATTTATATAACAGTGTTAATTGCTTCATACTGGTCAGTGGAGAATAAGGTGTAACACTGCCTTGGTGCCTTATTTAGATAAAAACTCAAATGACCTATATAGGATACTAGAATAGTAGATATTGACCTATTGTAACATCATAAATTCATAACTAAAATACAATCCATTAACTCAAATGAAAAAAAAAACATTAAAATATTAAAAAAAAATCATCAAAATATATAATTAAATTTGCATTTTGTTTATTTTTAAATCTTGGCAATGGCATTCTCAATAAAGAAAAAAAAACATCATCGATCCATCAAATATTAAAAGTATGAAAAATTATTATATTAAGTAAATAAAAATTAAAAACTTATCCATGACACCCAAAAAGTCAAAACATCATCAATCCATCAAACATTTATCATAGTGATCGTTGCTAAATCTGTAAAAATATAAGATTAAAAAAAAAACACTTTAACGTTATTAAGTTATTATATAGGAAATAAATAACAAATCAAAGGATAGAGCTAAAAAATTGCTAGTTTCAATTTTCTCAACATCTTGAAAAATTTCTTCAATATTAATCTATCATAATGAATTTGCACATATTAGAGATTGCACTATGGTAGGAGATAAACAAAACTCTTAAAGGCATCAAGAAATCTTCTTCTAGTGCTAGATGCCGATTCTAAGTGAACAATACAAATAGAAACCGCCATCACATCATGAGCCACTTGTGAAAGAATAGGAAATCAAGAAAAATTATTTTTTCACAACACTAAAATATCAAAATCAGCATTATCATTTTCGGAATCTTCACCAAGATACCTATCCAACTTTAATTTATTTTCTCCACCTCCAAGAGATTGCACGATGGTAGGAGATAAAAAAAACTCCTAAAGGCACCAAGAAATCTTCTTCTAGTGCTAAATGTCGATTCCGAGTGAACAATAGAAATAGGAACCACCATCACAACATGAGCCATTTGTAAAAGAATAAGAAATTGAGAAAAATTATTTTTCCACCACACTAAAACATTAAAATTAGCATTATCATTTTCATAATCTTCACCAACATACCTATCCAACTTCAATTTATTTTCTCCACCTCCAATTTTACACTTGAATTTTTTAAAACGCATTGTTATCTCCAATTTCATGTTCACCTCCCCTTGCTTAACTATTTTTTCATTTACATTTGACATTTCTATTCTCCCACCACTTTAACCAATTTGATATTTATGCTTTGAGAATTGGCAATAGAAATCATACATGTCATATATAGATTTCTTCATAATATTTTGCAAATTTTCATTGTCCAAATCACCATACAATTTTTTTATTGAAAATTCAACAAATTCAAGTTTATGTATAGGATCAAGTATGGTCGCAATATAAATCAGCTTGTTCCTTTTCCTAATATCCTCCAATACTTCTCAAACTTTTCTTTCATTTTACTAGCCAATAAAAAATCATCTAAATCTAAATTTTGTTGCTATTTTCTCAAATAAATGTTCAACCAAACAAATCTCTTCTAAGGAATTATTAGAAGTCACATACAAAGAACTCGAAACAAGTAAAGTAAGGTTGTAAAAAACTTTCAACATGCTAACCATCTTCCTATAAGCCTTTCAATCATCAACATTAGGCGACCCAACAACATTATCACCATGATCTCCATTAAATTCGTAAAAAAAACTTTTAATATGCCAACCATCTTTCTACAAGCCTTCCAATCATCAACATTAGGCGGTCCAATAACATTATCACCATGATCTCTATTAAATTCACTCAAATATAAAGGATTAATTTGCTCATATCTCTTAAACTTTTGAGCCGTATTTAATATCAAATATGTTGAATTCCACCCAATTGTGACATCTAGTTATAACAAACTCTTAGAATCAATATTTTCAAGTTCAATGCATTCTTTAAATTTTAGCAATCTAGCTGGAGATTGTCTCGCATACCTAAAGGTTGATCGAATATGAATGGTCGAAGGATTAAAATGTTTCAACCCATCGGTAACAACAAGATTCAACGTATCACTCATATGCCTCATATGAAGGAATTCCCTATCTAAAATGTTATGCCGGTAATTTTTAATAACATATTTTAAGTATTTAATTGCCACATCATTCAAACTTGTATTATCAACAATAAAGATAAAACTCTTTTCAATTTCCCAATCAATCAAGTATTTGTTAATGGCAATGCCTAAATCTATTCCCTTATGACTATTGACCAAATAAAAACTCAAGATCTTTTTATGTAACTTTTAATTATTATCAATAAAATGAGTAACTAAACTCTCATAATTGATTCTTTAGGTGGATGTCCATTTTTTCGTAGTGAGACAAACTCTTGCACAATTTTGTTTTAAGAATTACTTCAACTTTAATTTTTCATCTAAGTAAAGTTGGTAGCAATCTCTTAAAATCATAAATCGTGATGGGATTTTGAATCTACATTGTGTAATGACATATAATTTTTAAACCCTAACCCCCACCCCCTCGGGTCGTCGCCACACACACTAAAACTTAAATGGAAGTTCATCTACAATGATCATATAAGCTAAAGCCTTTCTAATAACAATTTGGTCAAACTTCCATGTGCTAAGAGAGCTTTCTCTACCATATTTGGATGAAGGTTTAACCGAGTTTGTATAGCATCAAAACTATGTTGGTTTTTTTTTTTTTCATGTAGTCATATGTTATTTAAGTGCAGTTCGTGCAATTTCTTATAGGATGACAAGCAAGTACCTTATTACAATAGTTGCATTTAGCATTAATTTCTTTATTTTCATCTTCAAACTTTGTGAAATTTTTTCACATAATTGATCTCATCTTAATCGGTCTTCATTTCATTCTTGTGCTAGCTTGTGTGTTAGTTGGAGCTATACTCGATTTTGGATTGCTTGAATGCACAATTTCAACATTAATCTCTTCAAGTTTTGACATCTACTTTAAAAATTATAGAATTAATTAAAAAATTAAAAATAGCTATCCTAAAATTAAAGATTAAATAAACTAATTAAAAATAGCTATACTTAAGAATTCATAGTGTGAAACCTTGTTAAAGATGCAATACGGAAACCAATTGAGTATTGGTTTGAGAAACCCACCAAGTTGATGTTTGAATTCTTTGGCTTGGCTGGTGTTTATTCTAGAAAAATCAAAGTATCATGCAAAAAATAAAATAGTGACAAATGGATGACATTACAGATTAAAAAATAGTTAAAAGATCTAAATCAAATCTTAAAAAGGTTAGGAGGTAAGTTCCTATTAACCAACTCTTTTGTCGCTACTTAGATGGCCGACTAAAATTGTATTGTGTCATAGTACCATACGGTAGGATTTTGTCTTGTAATACACGGGGTGGAAGGTAATTCTTTGGTTGGGTCTATAAAATGTGTTGGATTGTTCTAACCAGATTCTAACATCCAAGCTTTCCATGAGTAATTGTACTGTTATATTAACTTATGCAAATATGCAGGCCAGTAAGAATGGAATGGGCCGAATGGCAATACGAAATCCTGTTTAGATTGCAAATAACTTAGGCTGTTCAAGTTGGGGGTATCAGAAAAGGTACATTACCTAGCAACCTTGGCTTGATTTAAGTAAATTGTTAAATCGATAACCATTAAATGAGTATTCATGTCTCAATGTTACAAGTAAGTTGGTTCTGATTAGGGATATAAATATTTTACCTTAGCTTTAGTAGAATGCATGCTTTGATTTCTTTTAGTCATTTTATTAGATTAGATTTCAAATTGCTTTAACCTTTTCTTCTCTCTATTTTTAGAAAATTTGAAGTTTTATGGTTAATGGTTTGGAATTTAAAAGGACGAGCCTGCTTTTGCCAAAAAAAAAAAAATAATAATAATAATATAATAAAAAAAATTAAAAAATTAAAAGACATGTATTTGGAAATTTGGATGAGTTTCTTATGGTATTAGCGAAAACAAATTTGTGACAACCAAATATGCAAATAATAGTATATATTAGACACATTCAATTATAACACTACTCGTTGTATACGACGAAGTACAAAGTTGGGAAAGGGACTATTTTGCTACTGAGTAGGGGCAAAGAAGGAATGAAAACAAACTGTATATGACGAACCTCCCCTTGCCCTTAATGATTATCCATGGATCAGGCCAAAGATGCCCAATTTCACTATAGCCTCAATCCATATTTGAGATGCTTCGCCGCCGGCTGGCGAACTAATCAAACATAAAGATAAAAATGAATATAAAAAATGGATTTTAACGAATTTTACATAAATAGATTAATGAAAAAAATCTTCATTTTAACGATATCATTTTACTTTCAATTATTTTATCAAAAAAATCCTAATTATTATAGGCATTTTAGAGTTTTAGATTCCCTTATTAAAAAATCCGCATCGCTTAATGAAGCCAATCAGTAGTGTTTTGGCGGCATGTGTCCGTCACCGTAGATAACGCAAAGCACTAAGCACCATGCTTGTCTAATTTCTAAACCATCTCTCTCCTTATCTAGTGATTCACGTTTTATTTGTTTATTCATATCATCCTTCCTTATATTTTATCTTACGTTGGAGTAACAAACAAAGTAGAATTCATCAGCAAAACAATCATGGCAGAAACAGAGATGGGTTGCAGAGAGCAGAGGTGGTCTCTCAAGGGTATGACCGCGCTAGTCACTGGTGGAACCAGAGGCATTGGGTTAGCTAGTTCTCTTTCTTTTAACAGGGTCTTCTAAATTATTTCCTGAATCAATCCTTATCTAGCTGATTGCTTTTTTCGATGAATCAGATACGCGATTGTAGAAGAACTGGCAGGATTTGGGGCAAGAGTGTATACTTGTTCACGCAACGAGAAAGAGCTCAATGAGAGGATAAAAGAATGGGAAAGTAAAGGGTTTAAAGTAAGTGGCTCAGTCTGTGACCTCAGTTCTCTAGACGACAGACACAAGCTGATGGGTTCCGTTACCTCTGCTTTCGATGGGAAGCTCAATATCCTAGTAAGCTCGCTGTCCATTAGCTATTCTATATTTTTCAATGACATTATTATACACAATTTCATTTACATTGCTCTTTTCCCAAGGTTTTGGATTCCAACCTCTTGTGTTTAAAATAATATTTAGGAGAAAAAAAAATCCAAATCTCTGTAGGCGAAGGTTGATGGAAGGCACATAATTAACGAGTGCTCTCGTGTTTCTTGTGACACGACTAATCTTGTTTGCCCATAGAAATCAAATTAACATGATTAAAATTTTTATATATACTAGATGGTTAAAGTATTTTTGACACACCGAAGATAATCTCTCAATATAAGGCTGTTCGTGGCCCATATGTCGTTTTCCTGCTTCCTACTATGCATGCCTTTGTCCTTTGTCATACTCAGACCATACCGAATACTTATGGAAATAGTTGGCAAAAATTTTAAGTCAAAGGACCAGACTTAAGCGGGAAAAAATCCAGTAAAAAGGAAAACATTATGATGAAGTTGACCACAAAGTTTATTATTGGAAGGACAGCATATATATATATATATATATATATATATATAGGTTATTCATGAATGGGTGAAAATCACATATTGCTTTTATACATCGGTTTTAGTAATTTTAATCTTTTTATTGCCTTATGCTGCAATACAACTTTTATATTACTTAAAATTAATATAAACCAATACTTTCATCTAACTCTTTTAGCTACTTGTTACAATATAGATGATCAGATATTTAATAAAAAAGGTCGTTTGTCTTAATTTTAAATAGTATAGCGCTTGATTTGCATAATAACTCGGTAGAGCGATTAAAATGATTAAAAGTAAATAGTACAAAGGCACAGAGTGATATTTATTGATTGACGAGTTGAATGATGATCGGGATAATTGCATTATAGGTTTATCAACTTTTAATTTATTCTCAATCCATTACATGAATTTTAATTATTATTTTTTTACTTGAATATACTGATTTTTTCAAAATTATCAATAAAATATTTTCGTCGATTTTTTTATTATCAGATAACATGTCTGTTATCCTTAAAATATCACATTATACTTTTATCTTTTTTTCTCTCTCTATTGAGTGCATGGGTTTTAATTTTTTTCGTTTGAATATATCGATATTTTTAAAATTATCAATCAACTATTTTCATTAATTTTTTTTTAAATCATGATGTATCTGTTGCTCCAAGAATAATAAATTATAATTTAATCTTTTTTTCACTAGAGGAAATTTTCCCTCAAATGCTCATAGGTAACAAATTTCTTTAATGAAAATCTCACGTTTGTGTTTTTTTCTTTAATTTACATGTCTAAATCTAATTGAGTTTTCTTTTTTTAATAGAAAATCTAACTAATTTTAGTTCAGAGTTTTATAGCTAACATATAATATTTTGAAAACAAATTCTTGTCAAATGTTGAACTAGTAGAATAATTTAGGGAAAGTTCTCTCCAACAAAAAATGAGCAACATTGTAATTTAGTATTCTAGTACAACAAAAACTTCATTAGTTAACAAAAAAAATAATAATAATAAAAATACTTGATTGGTATTTTTAAAATAGTTGTTATATTCAAACAAAAAAATTAAAATTCATGTATTTAATTGAAAAAAAAAGGATGATAAAATTATAATTCTATATTTACGAGTAATAGACATGCCATCATTTAACAAAAAATTGGTAAAAGTATTTTAGTGAAATTTTGAAAAAAATCAATATACTCAAATAAAATTCATATATTCAATCGAAAAATAAAAAATATATAAATCGGTGTATTTGTAGTGCAGTTGTCTCAATGATGATTACAACAAGCCAGCATGATTCAAAGCCAAAAAGTTGCAAGATTTTCCTTCTGACGTTTGAGAGTTCGTATTTAATTTTGTCAAAAAATTGGACACAAACACAACGTTTCCGAATATTGTAATACCATATCTGTTTTATTTTTATTTTTACTCTAGTGTTTCCTGTACCAATATAATTTGCTTGTGGCTGTGATTTACTAGGTAAACAATGCTGCCATAGCCACACTCAAAAAATCTGTAGATTATACCCTTGAAGACTATTCATTCATAATGAATACCAATCTTCAGTCTCCTTATCATCTTTGTCAACTTGCACATCCACTTTTGAAAGCATCAGGAAACGGAAATATTGTGTTCATTTCCTCTATTGCTGGTATGGTAGCTTTACCTATGCTATCAGTATATTCAGCAACTAAAGGTATGCTTCTTCGTCAAATGGCTTAAAATTTGAACATTTTTGTCCCTACATTGCTGGCTTTCAATAAAAAAATTATTATTATTATTATTTTTCGTTCAGGAGCAATCAACCAATTAACGAGGAACTTAGCCTGCGAATGGGCAAAGGACAATGTTCGCACAAATACTGTTGCACCAGGGGCCATCAGAACCACGATTCGACAAGATCAACCTGTATTATTTCTCCCCTTTTTTGTGCATGATTTTTATGACAACACCTTAGTACCTTACGCATCAATATAATATATTGTTAAATTTTGCAAGTTTCCCTGGATTAGTCACTTCCAGAAACACTTGCCTTTCAAGCTTGTACAGGTTTAACTTGGATTTTAAATTGCTGTAGGCCGATCCTGAAATAAAAGAGGCATATAGCGACATGTTATCTAGAAATCCAATCAGTCGTATTGGAGAGCCTAATGAGGTTTCATCACTGGTCGTATTCCTCTGCCTTCCTACTGCTTCCTACATCAATGGACAGGTTATTTGCGTTGATGGGGGACTTACAGCCAAGGGTTTTTAGCCAACTCATTTGTGATTCAAACAAGTTGCCTCCCATAATCAAACCAGTCCCTCATGAGGTGTCCCAAACTTTAATTCCACTGTTAATAATAATAAAGGAGGAACTCCAAAATGTGGAGCTCCTACTCCTTTCCCATCCTTCATTCAGATTGAGATCCTCATATGTTCTGAATGAGATGTTTGTCTAATCAAAGTTTATTCGTTAATATCTGTCACGGTTCTGATTGTTGCATGATTAAGCAAAAATATTTTCTGGTCATCAATGCAGTAGCTGTAAGTAATTCACTCTAAGCAAATTTGAGATCACAAGGTAGCAGTAAGGCCAGGGTGAGAAAATGGAAATTTAAACCAATTACCACTTATCGTAATTCTAGACTAGTAACTTGGCAGCTATTATTTGACGAACAAAAAATGAAATTGGTATACCAGTAAAAGTATGATGTGACACGTGTCTCTTATCAACCTATAAAGAAGGGATCTATCTACTCCGAATACATTTATACACGACCCTCGTACCAAAGAAATCCCATAACTAGGAACACTCATTTGCCAAACTCTTTTCCAATCTATGGGTTAGTTATTTACCTGCAAGAAAGAACAGAAAAGACAAGAAAACACAAACATGTCCTCCACTTCATGGAAGTTGATCATCCCCTGCTACTATATAAATGGTAACCTCACACATAGGGCGGCTCAAGGCATAGACCATTAAGGCCAATGCCTAAGGCCCCATAGAAGAGAGGTCCCAATTAAAATTTTATCTTAAACTTACATCCGTGAAAAATGAGATAAATTAAAATATGCAACCTCCACCTAAGTATGAAACACTATTCTTCTCTCTATTAGCGAGGTCATATGTATTAGAGTTCCCGCATTGAAAGGCTCTCATTGTTCGGAGATATTATTATTTCAAAGTTAAAAATTCTACCTTTTCTAGATGTCTTTCCGAGTTACCTTCTACTTATAAAAGCTTTCAATTTTTATTTTAGTGAAACACATTTACTTACAAAAAAGTTTCGGAAAAATATTTGTGAGTGAAACAATTTTTAGATCTCCAAATTTTGTTATTATATTCCTTTCTTTCTCCAAACAATCGGGGATCTCTTATAAAACATTTTCTAATTAGCTTGGCAGTAAGAATCGAAGGTAATTTTTTAATTTATGCAAATAAAATTACGTATATAAATCATATAATATTTTATATTTTTCTCAAATTTCTTTTTATTTTCTCAAGTGATTCTCTTTAGATTTACTTGATTAGGTGTGCCAACCAAATATAATCAAGTGCCAAAGTTTCTTGCTCTTTTTATAATTATATTTTAATTTTATTATTTGAATAAAATGTCTACTAGAAAATATGAATCTGAATATGAAAAACGTAAGAAAAAAAGAAAGGTAGAAGAACTAATTCAATCCCAAAAAGGTGCACTTGATATATTTGTTACTAATATTAAACCCCAAATACTAGAAGAACAAGATAAAGATTTAAATGAAAATATAGTTGAAAATTGTGAAGAAAAATTTGAAGATAACAATTCAAATTCACCAAAACGAGTAATGAAGAATATGATAAAAATTTAGAAGATGATGTTTCATTCAATAAAGGTGAAAATATTAATGATGAAGATGCAACAATAATTAAAAATATTTATGATCCGACATAATGAAAAAATTTAGACTCAAAACTGATTGATTTATTAGTTGAGAAAGGTCCAATTAGAGAAATTTTAGATTTTTCAAAAGATAAAAATTCTAGACATTTTTTTATAGTTCATTACATTCGACAATTACCAAACGGAGAAAAACATGATAGAAAATGGCTAGTATATTCAAAAGAGTTAGATAAAGTGTTTTGTTATTGTTGTAAATTATTTAGTTTGAAATCAAATATTCAATTAGTAAATGAAGGGTGTGGAGATTGAAAAAATCTTAGTGACAAACTTAAAGTCATGAGACAAGTAATAAACATGCTATTAATATGAACATTTGGGTTGATGCTCAAATGAGATTGCTTAAAAATAAAAAAATTGATAAGCATTTACAAGAGAAAATAAATAAAGAGAAAGAGCATTAGATGAATGTATTGTTAAGAATTATTGCTCGTTGTAAAAGCTCTTTCAAAAATAATTTGGCATTTCGTGGTACAAATGAGAAGATTTATCGAGACAATAATGAAAATTTTTTGAGTTTAATTGAAATGATTGCTGAGTTTGATCCAATAATGTAAGAACACTTTAGACGTATTCAAAATGGAGATATTCATATGCATTATCTTGATCATAATATACAAAATGAGTTGATAAATATTTTAGCATTAGAAATAAGAAATACCATTATTAGAAAAATCAAAGAATCAAAATATTTTTCAGTTATACTTAATTGTACTCTAGATGCAAGTCATCAAGAACAAATCTCCGTTATATTGAGATGTGTAGATATTTTGAAAATTCCAATAAAACTAGAAGAGTATTTTTTGTATTTTTAAAAAATTGATGATACCTCCGGTGAAGGTCTTTTTAATGAACTTACAAGTAAGATAAAAACTCTTGAACTTGACGTAAATGATGTGAGAGGGCAAGGATATGATAATGGGTCTAATATGAAAGGTAAACATCAAGGTGTACAAGAAAAATTATTAGATATAAATTCCGAGCATTTTATACACCATGTGGTTGTCACAATTTTAATTTAGTTCTTTGTGATATGGCTAATTCATGTGCTAGTGCTATGACATTTTTTGGAGTGACACAACGCATATATTCATTATTTTCTTCTTCTATAAAAAGATGAAAAATTTTGCAAGATCATGTTTCTAATTTGACACTTAAGCCATTATCACAAACACGTTGGGAAAGTCGTATTGAAAGTGTTAAATCAATTAGATTTCAATCTCAACAAATAAGAGATGCTTTATATCAATTAGCGAAAACTAATGAGGATCCTAAAATAAAAAGTGAAGCCATTTCTTTAACAACATATGAGATTGAAAATTTTAAAGTTCTATTAGGCATGATTATTTGGTATGATATGTTGTTTGCTATTAATACGGTTAGTAAATATTTACAACCTAAAGATATGGATATTGCTCTTGCAATAGACCACTTGAAATGTCTTATTTCTTTTTTTAAAAGCTATATAAAAAAAATGGGTTTACATCTTCTATGATCTTGGCTAAGGAAATTGCAGAGCAAATGAATATAGAACCAAAATTTTATGAAAAGCATACAATAAGAAGACATAAACAATTTGATGAGATTGAAAATGAAGACATGAAATTATCTCGTTGAAGAATCTTTTAGAATTAATTATTTTACAAATTTAGTTGATCATGCGATTTCCTCTCTTCAAAATAGGTTTGAATAATTTAAAATATATGAAGATAATTTTGGTTTTCTTTATAGTGTAGAAAAATTAAAATCACTTGATGATGATATTTAAAAAAAAATTTAAAATTTTGAAAACTTTCTAAAGCACGATATGCTTTCCGATATTGATGGTTTAGATTTATTTTGAAAATTAAAAGTTTTAAAAGAAATTATAACTATGGAAATGAAAACACCACTTGCCATACTAAATTTTATAAAAAAGATAAATTCTTTTCCAAATGCATGGATAGTATATAGAATATTATTAACTATCCATGTTATTGTAGCTTCACTGAAAGAAGTTTTTTAAAATTAAAATTATTAAAATCCTATTTACGTTTAACTATGTTACAAGAAAGATTAAGTAATTTGGCTATATTATCAATCGAAAAAGATTTGCTTTGTAAACTTGAATACAAAAATTTAATTAGAGATTTTGCATCTCGGAAAGCAAGAAACATAAATTTTAAATAATGTTTAATATTTATTTATTTTATGAAAGAGTCTTTAAAATATTATTTTGCCTAGGGCTACATATATTATAAAGTCGACCTCGCTTACACATGCTACGAGAGTAAGATTTTGCCTTCTACACTCTCAACACATACAAATATTATATATCTTTTCTAAATCCAAATATAGCGAAAAGCATATTGCTAAGCCTAATCCGGCCATACTAACCAAAAGATATACCGCTATGACATGAATTGGGGTCTAAAAAACCTCATTAGGGCTGAAAATCCAAGTTAATTAGGCTAAGAGGATTCTTTTTTAAGATGGGCTGAAATTCTACTTTGTTAAGATGAGGTTATTTTTAACACTATTCCTAACATTATCTTGTGTTACTATAAGTAAACTTATTCGCAGTTTGATTGTAATAACGAGTCTAGTAAAATAAGAGTTCTTTAATTAAGTTAGATAATAGTAGAATTAAAGAGTTATAAAAGTAACTAAGACTAGAGTTTTGTAGTCCATATAGGACAATTTTTTTTAGTTATCTTGTGTAAACTGAATTTTGCGAAAAAATAAGCTTGTATAACTAGCCTAAGACTAGTATAAATAGGACCTTAATATTGTAAAGAGACATTCGAGACATTCTTTCATGCTTTGAGAATTAATAAAATACTTGAAAAAAAAAATTTCTAAACAATTGAATCCTTGTGCATCGTTTGGGATTGGTTTTTATATCCTTGACTTGATCAATCAAAGTGGGTTATTTGATCAACTAAGGCTGAACCTAAAAAGGTGTAATGAGGTTATTAATCTGGCCAAAATCATTTTAAGTTGAATACTTAGTGAGATTTTAGTAGGACTTGTCAAGAACTTTGTCAAAACCAATCAAACTAGGATCATTTCCATCAATTACAAGTTTTAGCCTCATTCAATAAGGTTGGAACTTCCATACCATATCAATTATTTCCAAGAAAACTCATGGGTTTCTTAGTCTGTTAAGAGACTATGATTCGGCAATGGCATCAAAAAAGAGTTAGGAGTTGTGTGCTAGTCTGATTCTTCACAAAAATGATGTCATACTATGCCTAATAAGACTGAACACCTCTCTTTGTATGCAAACGGTATCTTGTGAGCAAACTGCAAAGGCCTAATTCCTTTCTTATCATATTAGGCCTTAAGTTTGAGCTATCCATCTGCCCCCTCTTTTCTAGAAACTTTTTCTTACGAAATATAAATTCGAAGCCTCATACTGACAATCAGTCATTGTTTTTTTTGTACTTTTGACATCGATCAATTAATGGTAAATTAGCCAACCAAAATATAGTGCTTTATGCTTTATTAATATACCTTATTATTATCGAAATGATTCGTCACGTGTTTGTATGTTCTTTAATAAAGAAATCCTTATATTTACATAAAGTTTGAACGTATTATTTTTGTAGTTTGATTATTGTGTGTGTGTGTGTGTTTTTTTTTTTGGGTTTTATTCTTTTTATTTGATTAATTTTTGAGTTTATATATGTATATTATCCATAGAGTAAATTATAAATTAGTCCATTTTGTTTCAAGAAATGAATTAGTTAGTTTATTTGATTTGAAAAACTAATTATTTAGTTGCTTTAACAAATATAGATCATAATTGATTCAATATTTTTTTATTTTATAAAATATTTTCTTCTCTTATCAATTTATTTATATTTTTACTTATTTTTTTATTTTTATTTTTACTTTTGTTTAATCCCTTGGAAAACATCAAAGTAAATTAAATCTTTCTAATGTCTAGAAGGGTTGTTTAGCTTCACCTATCTTTCTCTAACTTAATGTTGCTATTGGATTAAATTTAGCTAACGTCAATTAGGTTGTTCAATAATTAAGGATTAATCAAGTAGCATAAACCAAAAGTGGATACCTGAACTTCAACCTATGCTTTTCTCTCATTATTGTTATTTATATTTACTTTTGATTGCACACAAATCACAACAAACACAACTCCCCCCCCCCCCTTTACTTCCTTTGCACTATAAAACAATTAGACAATAGAAATCGTTGATTAAGCCACTTTCCTATGGGTTCAACCCTTTCTTACTCTATCTATACCATTATGGTTAGGTTCCGTGAGAAAAATGAACAAATAACTAATTCGTTGGCGATACGACATGTCATCATTGGACTATGTTGATCATGTTGGATTTTGATGAATTATTGGATAAATCATACTTTTAGTGGTTGAGTTGTCATGTTCGATAGCTTAATTAAGGTTGAATTGAAGAATTAAGTTAAGGTTTATGGATGAAAGTTTCAGCTAAAAAAAAATGGGAAAGGATTGGTTTGTTTTATGAATTGATGATATTTTGATGATATATTTACCAAGCGTTGCTCACCTTTTATTCTTGTGGTGTAGGTGTGAAAGATAAGAAATGATGGTATGTTTCAAAGTAAAGGTCATTGTCAAGTGCGAGCCAACTTGTCGATGCATGTACTTAATATTTAGATGTGAGTTGGAGAGTTTAAACTTTTCCTTTTTATCATGTTTTTGGACCTTAGTGTGAGTGCTAGGGTTTATATTTATGGTTTGTAAAATAATAATACACTAAGATGACTCTAAATAAATATATAAATATGGGTGTGGTTAGTAGTAGTAAATTTGGTTTTATGCATGAAATAAATGATTAAATGATTAATTGATTAATTGGATCGATGGATAAGTAAATTAAATAAGGAATTAAAATTAGAGTAAATTGGAACTTAATAATTGAATGATTTAATTGACTTAAAGGCTATGACTAAAATAATTGGCATTAAGTAATTGAATTTAATTGGTAGGAAATATCTAATTAAAATGGATATGGAATAACTGGATTTAATCAAGGTGGATTAATTGAATATAATTGGTATAAGTAATTAAATTGGTTTTTTTTTATCAAAAAAATAGCTAAATAGGCTTAAAATTTTATTTGACTTCCAATGGGCTAAATAGAGAATTTTTATTCAAATCAATTAATTAAAATTTTAATCTTAAGGGTTTCTATTAAATTGGAAATTGTGTATTACTTAAGGATAAGGTTATTTAGTAAATGGAAGTTGGTAGCTGATTAATTAAGGCCAAGATGGATTATTATTTCAAATAACTCAAATTTTTAGGAAATTAATGGACTTCTTATTTAATTGGTTTATTAAATTTATTTATGATTAAAATCGATTTTTTATCGTAATGTTTTAATTAATCCGAATTTTACGAGGATAATTAGGGAAAATTAAAGAGGTAAATCATTTCATTTTAGTTCAAAGTATTATTCTAAAATATTAAAATTAAATTTGACAAATGTAGCAAATTCTTCAACCCCTTTCACAAAACTCTCATTTAAAGTCCCATCGGTTAATAACCTAAAATCCATCTATGTACAATCGGACCTCATATTTTCTTTTTACATATCCAAGCTAACACGTAATTACTTCATTACCAATTTTGCTAAAAATCTAACTAAACTTCGACAAAGTCTTTTTGTAAATTGGACATTTCCTAGTTTCAAGCGATTCCACCTATGCACAAAAACTATACATCAAAAAAAAAAAAAAATACACTACAACACATGTAAATATTTTCAATTAAATATCACCTAAAAATCACATTCAAGCAATCAAATAAATCAATTTGAGCATGCCGAGATTGGCACTTGCCGTGGATAATCCATTAAATTAAATTTCAATCTCGTCCTCTCAATCTCATCATAAAGTATTGAATCAACCTTATTTCTCCTTAATTTCCAAAAGTCTCTAACCCCACGTGTTTTATACATTATGTCGTATATCAAAGCACTTTAATAATTATCAATAATATAATTATAATATCAATTACAACATTTAACTAAAATTGCTCTATGGTATAAAATATAAATTGAGGTTTCGATAACTTACCTTATGAGTGGCTAGAAAATTGCTAAAATGATTGAAGTGATTGCCGGCAATGCTACTAACTATATAGCTATAATAATTTTGTATATAAATAATTAATATCATAATTTATACAACAACTAATAATCTATCTATATCAAACAAATTTCACCGAAAAATAATTTATCAAATTTTAAATCTTAATCCAAATAAGAAGATATTATGTAAATTTTAAATTGACACTTTAATTTTAAATTTAATATGTTATTTAAAATCAAATATCTTAATTATCAAATGACTATAGATATATATATTGCCTTTATCTTATTGAATCACAGGTTTGTACACTTAAAGTTTTACACCTCGCAATTATCAAATTCCATAGTTGTCTTGTAGTTTTACTTTGATCTGTTACTTAACCTTCTTCTTCTTTTTCTAGATCATAATTTTATTGATTTTATCAAAAAAAAAAAAAATTTAAGAAATCCTTTTTTTTTCTTCCTTAGATAGGATTCTGCAGCTCACAATAGTGGTTAGATAGTTAGGAAGTTTGTTTTAATAGTTAGTAGGGCAGAAGATGAGAGTCATATTACAACAACGAATTGAATTGGATACCACTATAAAAATAAAAGGTTATTTTGATCTTTTATTGCAATGAGGCTTGAATTCGTGATTTATTTACAAGTATAAAAAACTCATTGGCACTGAATTGGAAGTCCATTGATAGAAAATTAAGAAATTTACGTTCATAGTAATTTAGAAAGAGAATAAGTTGAGAGTGAGAGACGCAAGATTTTATAAGATATGCATTAGTGTTGGGTTTATAAAAGAAAGTAGATATGGTTAAATTTGAAACATAAAGGTAAGTAAATCTAATTAAGTAAGAGAAAAATCTCATCATTAAATCTTAGCCCTTGATTTAATTTAAATGAATAAGATTAAACTAACATGATACATCTAACTTGAGAAAAGTCTAATCCTGAGTATTTTGTATGGATTGGCCAGCTAATTCCATTAACCTGTTTGCAGGAAGAAACAAAACACAAATTAGTGAACTTGACTTTGGGTCTCGTAGTCAGAAATAATTCCATTAAATAAGAAGGCATTATCCTTGCATTTGTATGGCCTAACAACCAAATACAGGATGACCGACATTGCTGGGAAGAAATCTTCATGGTGCTATCAAGAATCCGACATGATAGTGATGAAGATGGCGTGCCGTGCCTAATCGATTGCCATTCGCTAGTAATTTATGTTGCGTAAATTCATGAGTTATTGACTAGCTAGGTGGTCTTTAATTACAAGGAAGCATTTTTTTCTCAATAAATTAAATTACAAGTAAGCTTGGCTTTTGACAAGGTAGCTCTATTGGTTTATAAAAATCATCTTAATGTACCAGTTTCAGGAATTTAATTGCAAAGACAAGCATGGCAGAAGGAGAGGGGAATGGAAGGGGAAGTAGATGGTCTCTCAAAGGAATGACTGCTCTTGTCACTGGCGGAACACGAGGCATAGGGTTGATGATTCTAATTTTCTTTTCCTTTTTTTCTTCAAATTTTCTTTTTACTACACTAATACTTTACCAAACTGAGACTTGATTTTTTTATCTTTTTCTTTTTCTGTTGTTCGTGAGTTGTATAGGCTTGCAATAGTAGAAGAACTAGTAGCCTTTGGAGCTGCGGTCCACACTTGTTCTCGTAACGAGACACAGCTTGATAAATGCTTAAGAGAGTGGGAAAGCAAAGGTTTAAGAGTGACCGGATCAGTATGTGATGTCTCATGCCAAGCCCAAAGAGAGAAACTAATTGAGAAAGTCTCATCTACCTTTCAAGGAAAACTCGATATCTTTGTATGTTTGGGCCCCCAAAATAGAGTGCTGGCTCTAATTCGATTTTGACATTGAAACGTAATTAATTAGCCTTCATAAATTTGCTTAGGTGAACAACGCCGCAGCAGTGGTAACCAAGGATAGCACAAAAGTCACAGCAGAGGATATGGCAAGTACATTGTGCACAAATGTTGAGGCCTCTTATCATCTTTGTCAACTTGCACACCCTCTTTTAAAAGCATCAGGAAATGGAAGCATTGTATTTATTTCATCTGTTGCCGGAGTAGTAGCGTTACCTTCACTTTCCCTCTATGGAGCATCTAAAGGTGAGGACAAAAAATGGACCTGACAGCGTTTCTCACGTCAAAAATGAAAGTTTTCTCAGTGAGTTAGTGGTTTAATTCCACAGGAGCGCTTAATCAGATTACCAAGGGCTTAGCATGTGAGTGGGCAAAGGACAAAATTCGTGCTAATGCAGTGGCACCATGGACCATCAAAACTCCGCTTTTGGATGCTAGTCTTGCTAGAGCTGGAAGTGAACAGGTAATTAGTTTCGGTTCTCCATAGGTTTCCTCTGGAGTTCCGTAAAAGTTTCTTATGTCTGAACTTTTTGTTTTGCTTGCTCTGCAAATTAATTTACCTAAAGAATTTCAGTCAAAAATTTCCTCTGTTACATATAAATACATTTGACTTTCTAGTGCTGTCATATGATCTGCCCACATCACATCAGTTTTTTTTTTTTTCCTGATTCCTATGACAGCGAGCTGGTATGAATCGGCTACTCTCTCAAACTCCCATCAGCCGCTTCGGAGAGCCTCATGAGATTTCATCACTAGTGGCATTTCTGTGCCTCCCTACTGCCTCATACATCACAGGCCAGATTATTTCGGTTGATGGAGGATATACTGTCAATGGTGGATATACTACTACTGGTTTTTAACCATCCTCTGAAATAGTAGAGGACCGTCTTCAAACTTTTTACTACTGTTTTATGCTGCTCAATGCCTTGTTTTAATACAAGAATAAAAGTAAATAGTTTGAGTTCTTTAAGTTCCTAATTGTATTTAAATTTATAATGGTAGTTATTATGTTTCTAAATAATGTTTAAGTTTTCAATTGTTATTCCGAGTCGAAGTGTATTTATTATGTCTCCGAATAATGTTTAAGTTTTCAATTGTAATTCGAGCTAAAAGTGAATATGTAATTAGTTTTTGTTCTGCATAGGTTTCCTCCGGAGTTCAATAAAAGTTTCTTATATGTCCGAACTTTTTCTTTTGCTTGCTCGCAAATTAATTTACCTTGAGAATTTCATTCAAAATTTTGAATTTGTGTTTATCCTCTATGAGTTTTATTTTTAATTTGTGTTTATCCTCTATTTATTGAGATATAGCCTAATACTTAATTTCTATTAATTTGCAAGCCTCTTTGAACCTATCTTCTACCTGGTTTTGTCTCTACTCAACTAACCAAAGGACGGATATATCAACAACCTGTTGGAGTCTTGTAGTTTCTTCTATATATTGTATAGAAGTGTCTGTTGTAGGGTTGACTTTCGTCACCTTCATCCCAAGGTGATGGGACTTAATGTTTTGTTCTTCTTGATCTCATCTAATATAGCACTCCCATTGTAGTCACCGACAAAAAAACTAGATGGGTTGCACAATTAGAAGGAAAATAACTTATACTATATGATTTAAGATAGAAGTCAAACTCTCTAATATAATATGTAATCTAAATAACAATATTAAACCACTAAACTAAGAATTTAAGCAATTAAACACCAAGATCAAAAATTTACAATATGAATAAAAACTTGAACAAACTAGAAATTTTCATACAATAGCAATAGTACTACAGTTTTTACAATACTAAATTGAATAAACGTACGATAAAATAAAAAAATAAAAAAGAGTATTTATAGATCGACACTCCAAACATAAAAGTTGATGAAGGAGCTATGAAGGATGATGGATCCAAGCATGAGCAAAGAATGAATAACCAATTACTAGCCTATGAGCTATTGTCTACTCGATTAACGCCTATTGATTATTACTTATAAGTTATCGCTTATAAATTACTACATACAAGCTACTACCAAACAAGTTTTAAGTGTGAAACTTGTGATAATACTCCTTGAACTATTTGATATTGTTTGTTGTTCTTTTCGGCTTCATTTGGGATTTATAAATTCTCGACCACTATATGATATGACCTCTAATAATAGGCCTCCTTTGCCACTATAAGTTGTAATGCTTCATGTTTTCCTTTTATGTGTTGTAATACATTCATGTCTTCTTTTTCTTGCTCGCAATATTTTACTTTGTTATCCTTATGTTGCAATCCTCACATTCCTCCCGACTATTTGGGTCTTTCTTCATGGTCATTTAAAATTTATTATTTTTTTAACTACTTGTTACTAGTCATTTACCTTTTTTTAGGTGAGATTTTTACGTTTCATTTAGCTTTAAAGTCCATCTTTCACTAGTTTTGAAGGAAGCTTCAATGATCTTACTTAAAATAATTGATTGGGTCTTTTATAAACATGCTAAGCTTTATTGGCATTTGGGCCCGGTAGGTTTGTAGATGGCCTTTCCTTGAATGAACTTAGTCTAATAGACTTTAAAATGAAATCAACCAGACAAACCTACTTAAAAAACTTAATGGGTTTCTTCCAAATCTTGCGTCCAATTTATTGGTCCCGAGCCCGTAATAAATTTGGATGTAATATAGTCAAATTAAAAATTTTAGAAAATCAAAATAAGTAAATTATAGTAGACTCTTTTGAGTATTATAATTTGATTGAATCATTTGTAAAAATGTTGGGCTTTATTTGCATTTAGACCTTGTAGGTTTGTAGATGGTCTTCCCTTGAATGAACTTAGTCTAATAGACTTTAAAATGAAATCAACCAACAAACCTACTTAAAAAAACTTGGTGGGCTTCTTCCAAATCTTGTGTCCAATTTATTGGTCTCAAGCCCATAATAAATTTGGATGTAATAGAGTCAAATTAAGAAATTTAAAAAATCAAAATAGTGAATTATAGTAGACTCTTTTGAGTATTATAATATGACTTGGGTCTTTTATAAACATACTAGGCTTTATTTGCATTTGGGTCTTATAGGTTTGTAGATGGTCTTTCCTTGAATGAACTTGGTCTAATAGACTTTAAAATGAAATCAACCAACAAACCTACTTAAAAAACTTGATGGGCTTCTTCCAAATCTTGCATCCAATTTATTGGTCTCGAGCCCATGATAAATTTGAATGTAATAGAGTCAAATTAAGAAATTTAAAAAATCAAAATAATTAAATTATATTAGACTCTTTTGAGTGTTATAAAATTATAAATATAATTCAAAAGTTTAATTCGGTGTGATGCGATTGTGGTCACTTCTAAGCCCTTTTCGGCTATTGGATCACTCACTTTTGGTACTACAAAACCCTTTACAATCCATCGTAGTTTTTTCATGAGTGCAACGATAAAGGGCTTTAAACTTCATGGTCTCACCTCTCACCTATAAGGTTTCTTTCTTCCAAACCGTTATATGAAAACATGTATGGAAGAGAGTTCCTCGCTTCGCAGTGGTTCTTCCATGTCAACTTAATTTATCCTAGAGGTTGATTGGCTTTTTCTAGTTTTTTTTTATTTATTTTTCTTTTTTTCAATTTCTAGAGAGAATAATAGGATATATCTTTATTTTTTATTTTTTAAAATTTATTTACTTAAATTTGGTAAAAAATAAGATTAATATGAAAAAATATATTAGAGAAATAAAATTAAGATAGACAAAATAAGTTAACACCGTTAGTTCAAAAATTAAAAAAAAAAACGAGATTAAGATAGAATTAGAGGATAAAACTAAGAAAATAAATAAAAATAGAAGGATACGAGAAAGATAAAAAAAAAAAAAAGTTGAGAGATCTTTAAAACGAGTAGATTATAAATTAGTCCTTATAGTTTTAAGAGATTATTTAATTAGTTCGTTTAAAAAATTATTATTTAATTTTTTAATCAATATTGATCATATTTAATTTAATATTATTTTTATTCTATACCAATCTTTTCATATTTTATTTTTTTATTTTCTAAAACAAAAAATCAAATAAATTAATTAAATAAAAAACTAAGTTACAAGTAAATTTAAAAATATAAATACTAAATAATTAATTTTTAAAATCAAAAAATAATAATTAATTATTTTTTGGAAACAACTAATTTATAACTAATTTGTAATTTACTCCCTCTCAAAGCATTAACCCATTGATTAAATTAAAAGGCTAAGAAGAAGAAAAAAGCCATGATGCCACTTAAAATACTTATCTCCCACGTGTCCCTCTTCCAGGAACTTCGAAGCGCTTACGCAAAGCTTTAAAAAATGAGGAAATGCTAAGAAGAAGAAAAAGGCCATGATGCCACTTAAAATACTTATCTCCCACGTGTCCCTCTTCCAGAAACTTCGAAGCGATTAGGCAGAGCTTTAAAAAAATATGGAAATGACCCCCTCTTCCAGAAACTTCGAAGCGATTAGGCAGAGCTTTAAAAAAATGAGGAAATGTCCCCCTCTTCCAGAAACTTCGAAGCGATTAGGCAGAGCTTTAAAAAATGAGGAAATGTCCCCCTCTTCCAGAAACTTCGATTGAATACGTGGCTCAAGACGAATAATCGAGAAATTCAATGATGAAGCCGAGACGCGTCAACCCCATTACGTGGCACCCATTTTATTCGCCCATGCTAGCTTGGCAAATCCTCATCTTCCAGAAACTTGAGCGGAAATAACAGCCTGAGAAGAATAATCTAGAATGCGGCCAGAAAAATGGCACGTGTCAAGTCTATTACGTGGCATCCAACGTGGCATATAGCCCCTCCTTGTAAATGATACGCCCTCTTTTTTAATCTGTTTTTAAAATTTAACAAATTTCTCTCTCTCCACCGGGACAAGCCACTCAGCCAGTGCTTATAGTTATTAGTATTTCAACTCAGTGTGGGCAGAGCTTTCCAATCAATCCTGGAAGAGACTTCATATTGATAAATTTCTTTTTCACTGTTAGTCCTTGATGGCGGTAAATGGTAGAAACGATAGAGATCAGGAAGATGAGAAAGTAGAGGAAGGTAAAAAAACAACAGTGTATATGTGGGGTTATCTTCCCGGAGTTTCACCGGAGAAATCACCGATACTGACTCCGATTCCGGTGAAGTCTCCGGATACTGGTGACTTGTGGAAGGATGTTTGTGGTGGAGGTTGTGGGTTCGCCATGGCAATATCAGGTTAATTAATGTGTAATCTCAAACTAGAAATAACTTATTGTGATGGCAGATCTGATCTGTTTGAATTATTTAATGTGGTATTCAAAGGTGGAAAGCTGTTAACATGGGGATCGGTTGATGAGGAAAATCAAAGTTACATTACATGTGGAAAGCATGGGGTAATGAATTTTGATTGAAGAATTCTTGATACATTTTAGATGTTATTTTATTATTACTCTTTAATGTATGTTTGAATTGACGTTTTTTTTCTGCAATGTAATGATGCATTTTGTTAAGGACACTCCAGAGGCTTTTCTTCTTCCTTCTGAAGCTTCCATCATCAAGGCTGCTGCTGGTTGGGCTCATTGTGTTTCAGTTACTGGTAATCCGTTTTTTTTAAAAAAAAATTAGTTTATTGTTTGCTAATTGTTAATTCATCTACTGGAAATTAGCGGAGATTTATTTTTTATTTTTTAAATAGACTCCTATTTTTGCTGCCATTTTGTAAGAAAAATACATTTCCTTCTGATCCATAAGCCCCTTTTCATTACTTCTAACCTCGCAGAAACAGGGGAAGTATACACATGGGGATGGAAAGAGTGCGTACCCCTTGGAAAATTTCCTCGTGATGGTGCTACTTGGGGAGCCTTCCAGAAGGATAATGCTACAAAACAAAATGTATTGTTGTCTGAACAAGGTAATCTAGTTGAAACAATTTTCTTGGCAAATAAAAGGCAACGGTAGTCCCTTTGAATTTCCGAACTAATTTTAGGAAAACTAATAATTGCATTGAGTCCAGGGTCTCAAGGCACCAACTCAGCTGGTGGGGCAATGTCACATTCTGATAACAAAAAGGATGGGGAGGAAATAGTGAAGCGAAGAAGAGTATCAGTGGTGAAAGAAGAGAGTGAAAATTCACAATCTGGAGATGAATATTTCACAGTAATACCATCTATTGTATCTTTGGGTCCAGGAGTAAGGATTACCTCTGTCGCTGCTGGTGGACGGCATACTTTAGCTCTGTCAGGTAAATCAAAATTGATAACTTGTTGAATCACCAAGGCATTGAGCATTGTAGATTACAGGTTGAGTCTCCTCTTTGGTCACGCAATGTAGTTTTGTAGGTTATAAGAAGTACGAAGTAGGTTCTATGAAGTACGAAGATATGGAAGATTTTTGATGTAAAGCAAGACTCTTTATGTCATATTTTTAACCGGAGTTTCAGATATGGGACAGGTTTGGGGTTGGGGATACGGAGGCGAAGGGCAGCTAGGTTTGGGATCCCGGATAAAAATGGTGTCTTCTCCCCATCTCATACCATGTACTGAGCAACCTGCTTGTGGAAAAGACAGATCCTCAGTAGTTCGTCAAGGAACCACAAATCTGTCGGTCCAAGTTTCTAAACTTCCTGGAAGCTATGTGAAGGAGATTGCTTGTGGAGGTCGGCATAGTGCAGTAGTAACAGGTTAGCAATTGACAACTGATATGATTGCCAACTCGAATGTTTCTACATTCCTCCCTTGAAGAGAAGTAAAATTGACAGCTGTTATTTTATTGTGTTTGTCCTATGTCATGAACATTTTAAATTCTTAACTTAAAAAACTTCTCTACCTAAATTCCCTGGAATTGTTACGGCATTCAAGTTGATTTGCACACCATGTCAGTTGAATTCTTGATTGACTTCATCTACTTTACTTTTTAGACAAATATAAAGAGATTATTACCAAATTATGGTCACATTGAAGTGGAATACTCTGAGCAAATGTTTGAAGACAATCCTACCCTTCAACAACATTGTATGAAGTGGCTGCTTCCAACTTTGAATCTGCACTCTTGTGGTTGCAAGTTCTAGACTCTTTTATCATTGCTTCAAGCAATGGTCCTTTTTTTTTTTTTTTTTTAAAAAAATAAAATCAACCTATTATTATCAGCAAAACCGGTCTTGCTGACATCTCTTTATCGCTTCTTAATATTGTAGATGCTGGAGAACTGCTCACATTTGGCTGGGGACTTTATGGGCAGGTGACCTTTCTATGTTCCCAAGCTGATGGTTCCTTTTGCATTCCACGATTTTGCTTTCAGTTAGAACTTGGGTTTAGATTATCGCATTTTTGAATCAGATCACCCCGTCTAAAACGTATGTTCTTGACGAAATTGTTGTCTTCCAGTGTGGACAAGGGAGTACAAATGATCAGTTGAGACCAACTTCTTTACCTTCTCTATCAGGAATCCAAGTAGAAAGAATAGCTGCTGGCCTATGGCACACTTTGTGTGTCACCATCGATGGTCATGTATATGCGTTTGGTGGGAATCAGTTTGGACAATTGGGGACTGGAGCTGAGCAGGGTGAGGTATCTCCTACTCCAGACATTGCAGTGAAATGTTTTATGTAACTGTCAACCAGCTTGCTTCAGTAGTGTTTTGTTTCTGACCATCTACATGGTTTACGCATTGACTAATTCAGTTGAAGGAAAGTAACCGGCAACTGAGGCATTTGCTTTTCTGTTTTAGACTCTACCAAGACTTTTGGATGCTCCTTGTCTAGAGAGTAAGCAGGCAAAGATGGTTTCTTGTGGAGCTCGGCACAGTGCCGTTCTAACAGGTATCAGTCAATGTTGGAATTATCTATGAGAGTTACTTTTCCAGCTCTTTTCCAGTTTGCTTTGACAGTTGTCTATGCAGATGGGGGGATTAAAATTTTTAGCCACATCTAGGAAGAAACTATACTAGAAATTTTATCTGTAAACTGGTACTTGATTAGTGAAAGACATTCATGTGATAGGTCATGCTTTATTGTTTGGTGCTTGTGGATGCGACACAATAGTTCCACCAGCATTGATAGTGCTTTTTTTTTTTTTTTTTTTTTTGTTTTGAAGTACACTGATGCTAATCAGTGAGGCTCGCTGATTTTTCAGCTCGAGTCGTAGGAGAAGCGATTCTTCTCACTTGAATTGGGGAATCCTTCATCTGACATCAATTTACATGATGCGACAATGAAAGCAGCATGGCCTATTATTTGTAGATATATTATCAATTAAAGGAGCTTGTTTTTACTCTCTGAATTATGTGCTGACACTGCTCTTTATTTTATTTATTTATTATTTATTTTTAACTTGGTGATTTTCGAAGAGGATGGACAAGTTTTTTCCTGGGGATGGAACAAGTATGGTCAGGTACTACTGTTCTCTCCGTTTCCTGATCGCAATTGTTGTGCCAAATGCACATCTTTAGCTGACATCCTAGTAATTTGTGTCATTGGTTACGTACAGCTTGGCGTGGGTGATTCAATTGATCGTAACATTCCTTCTCAAGTCCCCATCGAAGGTTGTCGACCAAAAAATGTTGCATGTGGCTGGTGGCACACCTTGTTGCTAGCTGAAACACCCCTGAAATCCTAGATTTGTCAAAAACAAGTAAACAGGAGGCAGTTTTGCTAGGATCCTTCTCTTGAATCCTTCTCCTTAGTTGTAACTTCTCTTTTTTAAGCAAGTTTGCGTGCATCGCTTGACATTTTATGTTTTTTATTCACAATGTACATAACATGCAAGGATGCGTTTATTTCCCCCTTTAGTTATTTCATCTCAACTCTAACGAAGCATTGCAATTACAAGAACAAGCTCTTCATTTGTACAAAAACCATCACTCCAACAAGCTCTTCATTTGTACAAAAACCATCACTCCATGTAATAATACAACAATAATTCGAATTTTGTTTTTGGAAATACATACACGGGACGATTAAATCAGATGAGAAACACAACCTTTCCCTCATATACAGGTTTTCTAATGGAATCTTATTTAGCGGGATGAAACGCATCAAATCTTGCTAGATATAGAACCACGTTTCCGCTGCAGAAGCTGCATCAGGGGCCAGAATATGTCGAGTCTATGGAAACCCTTGCAAGCCTGTGTACATTTGCCAGTTGTGTTTAAATTGTGTCAGCCGTTGTTACATAAGCACATGATGTCGGGAAAGGTTTTGTTAGAAACCAATTTACCTCAACAATGAAATGAGCCCATGTGTCACTTGATCGACTTTCCATCACGCCCTTCAGGATGGTCAAATCTAGACTGCGGATCACCTGGGCTATCTCCAAGAACATACCGCGATCATTGCAAAGCATCTGCTGCAGATGCTAATTAGCAAATCCTTGTAAAACAAACAGAATGCCAGAAAATTTAAAATTGCAGGACCTACCTCTATGAGGATGTGTCCTGGGTATGCAAGATCTTCCACAGCTATGGGGCACATCTGGAGCTCATTTCCAAAGTCAAACGCCCAGCTTTTCCCACTTTGGATATCTTCGTTGGTTTCAGATGATCTGCATTTCTTGCGATCAGCAACCTGTACATGCATTCCAGTTCAATCATAGCGAGTTTCAGTTACACAATACAGGGAGTTCTTTTTTTCGTTTTAATAGCAGTTTTGCCCTGTTATGCATAATATATTCTATATGTTTGCTATTAATTTTTATCTTACAAATGTTTATCTGGTATGTCCCCTTTTCAGGTTGTCTGGTACGCCACCCGTTCCCCCAAAACGTTTCTTCTGACTGAGTTCAACCCCAAACTAACCGCTTCCACATCAGGCATTATATTTATTGTCGATGGACTTCGATGGCCTTTGTTATTTTGAACAAACTACAGTGGAAGGTCCAACAAGACCTGAACAAGCATCAGATCCATGGCATGCATCATATTGTCAACCGATTTCAATGGATGCTCATAGCTGACATTCTAGGTTTGGGTTAACTTAGTTTGATCTATTGAATACCTCAAAAACGTGCATCGCCTACTTATGACCTAACCTGGTTATAATAGACAGCTGTGAGGTGCATAAATGGGTGTGCGCGGCTTTCTTCACCCCTAATCAGAGTTAATTGCCTATTTGAACTTCAAACTTCTACCAACTTTGAAAGACCATGGTGTAGATCAATATGGTTTTGTCCAAATCCGGGAAATCTTTCTCCCCATCCCCAAGTAAATTTTTCTGTAGATAATTTTGTGTATGCAGCGGCCAATGCTGTCCTCTAAATAAAAGAACACCATCAACTACCTTTCATCTACACTGAATATGGCTCAACCAAATTGGAGGAACTAATAAGATTTATTGCCCTTTGATTTCACTTTTTCCTGTTTTCTGGGAAGAGAAAACTTATCATTCTCATCTATGCTGCTGACCAGCTTGCAGCAGTAAGTTGCTAACTTATTAATGTCCCAAGTTTTGTTTTTCTTCTAGTTTGACAACCAAAGGGATCCTCGGGCCAGCTTGTTCATCAATTAAGACTAAAGTCCCCTTTCCAGGCAACCCCTCACATTGATCTAGCCAGCTTGTGCATCAATTAAGAAAAAGTCCCCTTTCCAAGCAACCTCCCACATCGATCTAGCACAAACAAGGGGAATACTTCTCCTAGGTGCTGACCCCAAAATTTGAACTCAGGAAGTCAAGGAAAGGAGGGAACCTCCTTGATCACCTGGCCTACCCCTTGAGGTTAGCAACCCAAGTTATTCTCAAGTTGACTACAGCTTAATAACAATTTGATGGTTCTCCAAAAGCAGGAAAAAAAAAAGATGGTAGTAATTTGGTGTATGTAATTTGATTGGCAAAACCAACACATTGCCAGGAGGCTGATGGACATGAAGCATACCTCTTGATGAACCCATTGCCTCAACTTCTCAGCGTGGTCAGTCACACTTCTTAAATACTGCATGTGCTTTATGGTTTGATCCAAGAGGCCATCAATGCTACACTGTATTTACCACACCGCAACAAGCAAATTTATATAAAGAAGAGGAAAAACATAAGTATGTGATCATGCTGAAGTACATGCAGACCCCAAGAAACCTCACCATTGAACCATTAGGGATGAGTTCCCTCAGCTCCTTTACCCGGTCCTGGATCAGCTGTCTATCCCTTGGCCTTGACTTTTGGTTTTCGCCAGGTCTGGCCCTGCTTCTGGCGACACTTGACATCTTCTGGCCTTTCCGAGGTTGCGTGTAACTGCAACTTTTCTCCTGTTGTTCCTGGTCAAAAATTGTGCTCATCATACTACCCAAAGCAGCTGAAGTATCAGTATATCCACTCCCAGAAATACATGCAGATGCTAGATGGCTCCATGGTGCCAAATCATCCCCCTCCAAGGTGCTTGCTTGAAATTGGTTTTGAGAAGAACTAAGAAAGTGTTGTGACAACCTTTCAGATGACTTGAAACTATGGGATCTATTTGAAGAAGTATCATCTGAACTGCTATATGAATTGCCAACCACAGATTCCAGCAGAAACTCAACACCTTCTCTAGAAAACAAAGAAGGCTCAATTCTAGCACTGAGATCTTCATTGCAGATGAAATTTGAGCTCCCACAACTATCCTCCAACAAGAAGGATGGGTCCAATGTCTTTTCATTGGTCTGGCACCTAAAAGGGGGTCCAAGTGCTTTATGCAGCTCACTGCCGTTGGGAAAGCTAAGACAACTGTTTGTGTTTTTATGATATGCATCATTGGCATCCTTGCCTCCAGATGGTTGCTCTGCTATATCTGCAGCAGGATAAGTATTCATCTTCCCATCTAAGGGCTCTCCAAACCATCCCACATTGTACTCACTACAGTCAGAATATGCTTGTAGTTCCTCCATCAGATAAGAAAGTTCAAAAAGCTTACTCTCCACCATCCCCAGTTGGCTGGCACTTAAAGATTCACTTGGAGTTGATAAATCGGTGAAGATAGGCAAGGGACTTTTATTTTTGTTTTCATATTTGAAAGCTTCTGGTTGTTTATCTTTACGTAGCTTGACACTATTGACAGGTATTGAATAATTCGAATCTTCACTTTTCACTTGGCAAAAGGCAATAGCTGATGTTGCATTTAAGTGCTCAACAGGACCAGAGATTAGTGTTGACTGAGCTTTAAACTCCCTCTTTAAGGTGAAAGGAATTGCGTTTTCTCTAATGCTGTAAAGACCATTGAAACTACCTTTGATATAGGCAACTATTTGAATATCTTCAGCAACCTGAGAAAAGGAGATGAAAATAATCCATATGGGAGATGAAACAAAGTAAGGCAGATGCATGCTTTGAACACAGACAAGCCAGCAGATATCTACTATCATGCATGCATGATATAAAATGCACATAGGCACGATATAACATGCCCATAGGACACTGATGACCTCATTCTCACATCCAGACACCAGCATCCATAATCTTTAATAGGGACAAAAATGAGATTATATGTAGATTAATCAATCACATGATCACATACCATCTAATAACTTGAGAGGTTATCCATAATTGTGGGAACCACCTAACTATGACTACTATGTAAATTCCAAATGCATAATGATGATAGAGGTAAAGATAACTTTTTACACTGAGTTTTATATAGCCAATTTCAAATAGGAAACTACCACAACAGAATATGCATGCAATTAAGATTTTTTTTTTATAGAGAAAAAAAAAAAAAAAACACACCTCTTCAAATGATCCAAGCTGCAAAACTCCATGTGGAAGTACAGGTACCAGCAAAATAGTCTGCATATGTATCACATATTCAAAACTGACATTATCCATTTGAAGGGTGACTACAAGAAATTTTAAATGTTCAAAACTAAATTCATGCATGCTTAAGCAGTGCCTGAATCTCTCTCTCTCTGACACACACACACAAACACGTGCGAATATGGAGTCAACAAAATGAAATATGATGATCTTCTGTTACTAAAATTCAAAATTAAATTACCTTGATACCTGATGCAAACTGTAGTAGCCATTCTTCTGGAAACTGCCAGTGGAAAGAATTCCATCTTTTAGGTTCTGTTATTTTCTGAATATAAACCAATTTGATTATTTTGGCTATCTCACCTCAGGAGCTAAATTAGCGCCCTCTTCGCAAGAAAAAATATTGTTGAATAAAAGCCAGAAATGGTCCCCTGTAAATGCCACTTCACCAACAACCCTGAAAGTTTTTAAAATTCAAGAATCAATTATGCTCTTTCAAATTTTTCCAACGCCATGCATAAGATAGAACCTCACTTTTTAAGTTACTATGCTCCCAAATATCTTTTAAATAAATATACGAGATTGAAAGGGATAAACAACAAGCAAATTATGCAGCCCCCTAATTATAGATTTGTGAAGTATATAATTGCAAAGGGTCTAACAAGAAGAGTTTAGAAAAAACAGAACAAGGGAAAAAAATAATAAAGAGAAGAGCACATTATATAGAATTAGATGAGTCAAGCACAGCATTATACCCCTCTCCTAAGGGATACTGAAGGAGCGACATATCAGCCATGGCAAGTCCAAATTGATGTCCCCCAGGGCTATCATTGGCTGCACTTGCATCAAAAGGGGAAGAAAATAGAGCATTCCCATCATTGCAGTAAAAATCGGAGGATATACTTTGCAAAGGTTCTCGTGGTTTTGGGCAATCAAAATACCAATCTTCCCAAGTTAAAATCCTGACACAGCAATGAAGATATTAAACTTCATGTAATCAATTGTTATGTTTCTAAATGATACAAGACTTAGGCAGACATAGAGTCAGACATGCACATCTATTCAAGTAAAATTTATTATGACATGATTGTGGAGTGATTAATAACCAGGGATTTTACAGTGAAAATATGTTTACTTAAGAAATTTCTCGTCAATGCACTATGTAGACGACCTGGCTAAAACCTGGCCAGGGAGGAACTTAGTCTCGGTGAACCAAAGTAGGGCCGAGGATTCCCTGACTGCAGAAACCAAAAAATAAAAAAAAGAACATTCCAAAAGGTCAACCCAAATATGACGCGACAGCTCTTAGAAATGTTCTGATTAACATGCTTGAATCAAACCTTAGCAATATATGCATATACTAACCAACTGTAAGCTATCAGAAAACAATCGAAGATAATATATTCTAGTTCAAGCATTGAATTCTGCATATCTCAACAAGGTTCTTGTAACCAGTCACATAATTGAAATCCAACAAAACATCAAATTCATGCATACTACTGATTCTAATCATTTCAATCTATTAAAAAAGAAACAAGAAGATTTTGCAGCTTTATCCTACAGTAGTACAACAAATTACAACCCAAAAATTCAAAAACAGAAAAGAAAAGCAAAACAGCCATAGAATTAATACAACATAAAGTCAAATAAAACATCTGATGAAGAAAATGGGTCTGGCAACAACAACTTACATTGGGCTGTCTTGTTTCAACTTCCAAAGCACAGCATATTTCCAGTCGGAGTTATTGCAAAGACTCTTCAACAACTGTCTAAGAGCAGTAGTTCCCATTTGTTGACGCTTCGACAAAACACAAATCTTTACTACATATAACAAGTTTTGGCCAAATAATTATTCTATCCCTAGAACCCTTCACTAACTGCCCCGATAAGACCCTCGTCCGGCTTGTTTTATCCTCAAACCCGCTCTTCGTTTTATCGGTGGTCCTGTTGAATTAAGTAGCAAAAATCCCATTTCTAACATTAAACCTTAACCCCTTTTCCTCTCTCTCCAAATTACAAACTATTTCTTATGCAAATTGTTATAATCACGACACTCAAACAACACAAAACAAAAAGATGGCCTCAATTTCAACAGCCTTTCTGTTCCAGTATTCCATGAAATGAACTGTAACAAAACAAAAACAACACTCTCCGGTTCTTCAAATTGCGTGAAATTGAAGGAAAGAAAGAAGAAGCAAGATCCACTGCCCCAAAAAAGAAACAACAAAATTACAAAACAAAGAAAACGATTGATAAAGACAGGATTGGAGAATCAGAGAGAGAAGTTAGAGAGGCTCAAATTCGGAGGATTCCATAATTGTGTTGGGTGTGTAGTGTAGAGATGGAGATGGAGATGGAGGAAAGACAGAGAGAGCGGAGAGGAAGAGTGGGCAAAATGTTACTGCTTTTCCACTTCAAAAGCAAATGAATGAGGAGTCCTTTGCCTTCTTTCACCAAAGCTGACTTTATACAGAGTAGTGTTACCTTCCCCACCCCATAACTGGTTACATCTTCACTTTTGTTTGTGTCCGTCACCGCCTTTTTAATTTTTCCACATTGTCGAATTGATTTACTTGGATACGTGAGATTCCAGGCTCCCGCCTAGGCAGATGCAAACTTTGCATACGAAATTCAATATAATAATGTAATTGCTCTATTTCTTTTCTTACTTACTCTTGTTTTTTTTTTTTTTTAATTCTATTTCTGAAAAAAATAAAATATGAGATTGGTGAAAAGACTAAATCATAAAAGGATTCAAATATATAGTGTTTGTTATTAAAATCAAAAGAATTAATTAATTAATTAGTTTTTTAAAGTTATATTAATGAAGCCAATACCTAACTCTAATAATAATAATAATAAAAGGAGGAGGAAGAGGATAGGGCAAATTAGGATGAGTTAAAATCGGATTTTCAACATTAATAAACTCAATTCAGTGTATATATATATATTTTCGACGGTTAACTATAAAGCTTCACGCGCTTCGAAATATATTATATATTCGTATTCAAGCTAGTTCTTAAATCTTATAAGATATTGCTTTCAATAATTTTTTGACATATAAATATATCCAAAATTATAAACCATAAAATATTATTTTTGACATTTAGGATATTTTGAAACGTTTATCTGACATATCTTTTATACTTTATAGGATAATTTTAATTATGCTATATTGAAAAAAAATCATATTTTTTGTGTATTGTGTAAGGTTTTTAAGACAAACCAAACGACTTATTAGTAAACCGATAAACATATAAAAAAATTAATATTGTGATTTATAAAAACAACAATCGACCAACCAAATAAAATAAATATAAATAGTAAAAGACGTGAAGAGAGGACCATGCAATGTTAACAAAGTGTGTAACTTGCATGTAAATGGAAAAGGTCTAAATAGAAGGAATTTCATGTATTGTCTAGTATGTAAATAGAAAAGTTTTGAGAGAGTTTAGAAAGTTTTTACCCAAGATCCTAAAGTTTCATCCCTTAAGATTGATATTTATTGTAAAAGAAAATTGTTAATATCGTGTCACGTCATCTAAGTTTGAATGTTTAGATTTAAATTGAAAAAATTAGGTTCTTTTAACTAAATTGTTTCAATTTGTAAGTAAAAGCTAAAAGAAGACTAATTGAGCATTTCTTTAGAAAATTATGTCCCAAACTCACTAATTCAACCTCCCTGATGTATCCCAATTGACAAGACATGAACATTTGCTATGCTAGAATGCATGCATCCATACTCGTAATCCAAAATCTTGTGTTGAACGAGGGTTATATTTAATCAAATCCATTTGTAGTATAGCTTGGATTCATGTTAATAATAATAATAATACTAAATAAATAAATAACATGGATAAGCATATGATAAAAAATAATTAAGTTAATTAATTTTAGAAAAAATCCACCATATACACATATTTAAATTGTAAATATTAAAATAATGTAGTATAATTTATATAGATAATAAATGTTGGATGTTGTTAAAGAAAAGAACTTGAAAAGAGATCTATTATAATTAAGTAAAACCAATTTGTAGCATCACTATATTTTAATTAATTTTATTTATTTTGAATTTTTTTTTCCTTCACAGAGGATGTATAACGAATTAGTACTACACAATGGGTTGTCTTCGAAATTTCTGATCTTCCCCTCTATATATTTAAACCTCGTAACTAAATAGGGTGCCTATGGGACTATTGTGAATACTTATTTAGATATTTATATCCTTTACATCTTTTAAAAAAAATAATAGAACAAATATAAACTAAATATTCTCATGAAAATTATATTTTCAAATAACATATCCACAGCATATTGTATTTTACAATTTCAAGAATAAATATACTTATATCTTGTTGTATCAGTCTCTTTTCTTATTATTTTTGTTCACATTTCTGTACTTGTTAACTTCCATACTAACAGATATACTTACATGGTATCTTGGTGTAATCTCTGCACATTACGTTAAATATACAACTCCAATACTTTTCTAATGATTTCATCACTTTTTACTTTCTCAAAAAATTCACTAATTAATCATTAAAAATGGAGTTGATTTTTTCACATATCAATGTCTAAAATAACCAACACTTGAAAATAAAATAAATACTTGAAATAGATATATCATCTATCCACCATCATTATTATTAAAAAAAAAAAAAAAAGATTTATCACAAAAACATATTAATTCATAATTGTCATCTATTTTTTATTTTATTTTATTTTTTTGTCAGGTTCAAAATGACATCTACATCTATCTATCAATCTCAGCGAAACAAGCTGGGTTTCTTATTTTTTTATTTTTAATATCATAAAAACATAACATTGTCTTCAATAAAAAAAAAAAAAGGATATATATATATATATATATATATATATATACCCAACTTGATTTCTTCGAGTGCTTATTAAAACATACTTGATTAAGGGTTTAAAATCCCAATCACTCCTTATTTGAGATTTCAGACGATATTATATTTGCTGGTTTGTTTGAAAATATCAAATTCTGAATAGCATATACATATATTTGAGAATATCATAGTTATTTAGGATATCGCTAGGAGTTCCCAAGAGTCAATATCTCCCTCAAGAGATGAATTTACTTTCTTGAGTTCAGAGATGCAAAATTTATTGTCTAGGGGAATAGGTGTCCTCGACCCTTCAAATTTAAACTAATATCAAATTGAAAATACTAAAACTAGCCCCGCACCAAGAGCGAGAGGTCATATGTGTGTGTTTGTATCCCAAAGTCTATCTTTTGACAAATATTTAAATATAATTGAGGTTAAGTGTTTTATTTGAAAAACTCTTACCGTACTTCAAGATATTCATCAAGACTACTACTAAAATATGATTATGCATGCATATGATATGGGGTGATGGGGAACGGTCTAAGGTTGTACTTTATACACACGTAACCACCTCACCTAATGTATGTTTCATGATCTTGATATTAGAGTTTGCATCAATCGAAATTATATTTGAAACAAGAATGAGGTTCATTTAAACTTGACCACTCTTATTCGGCCAAATTTCCTAGTTAATTAAGTAAGGTTGAATTTTCTTATGTAATTTAGGATATCTACTTTGACTTAGGTTACTTATTTTTCTTATGTGATTTAAGTTACCTATTTTCATCATTAGATTTAGGTCTTTCATTTTAATAAGGATGCAAACTTATGTTAAGAGTTTATTGTAGGAGTCCATATTTAATTTGGACAAAATTAATTAGTTTTTATTAAATTTGGATTGAATTGTTGTCCTTATTGTTTAGGACTTAGGTTTCCTAGTGAGATTAGACTTTGTTTTGTAGTCTAAAATGGAGAAGTTTTATGTACTTTTGGCTAAATTTTTTAGCATTATTTAAGATATCTTATGCCATGGAGAGAAACAATTTTTATTGACTAATAAAGTTCTTGAGAAGTTTCTCTCACAATTTTATTATGTATCCTTGTAGTTTTGCTTAGGATTTGTGTGCATTATCCTTGTGTTTGCTTAAGATTTTATCTTTTGTTGTATCCTTGAAATTTATTACTTAAGGTAGTGCTTTTTTTATTTATCAACAAATTTTTGCCTATTCAAATTTAAGGGTTGGAATTTTCAGACTTCATCAACTTTGTGGGTATTTGAGTTTTGACTTCTAGTTTGGAAGATTCAACTAACCTTGCATTATGATTACTTGAATTCAGCTTCATCAATTTTATGAGTATTTGAGCTTCTGCTCCTTGAATCTTGAAGGACTAGAATTGGCCAGCAACAACAATAAAAGGTTTAAGTATTCAATTTGGTCTTATTCGTCACAAAACCAGTCTCAACTTGGTATTAATTAGAGTTTTGGTTCATTTTTGCACGTGTCTTTGATGAAGTTTTATGATGATGCCTCCAAAAAGACATCAAAACCAAATCACCATGATCGATATACAAAGCTAGTTGAGGTAGGATAACTTGAAGAGGCAATGAATCCAAGAGGGGAAAGGCAAGATCACATCATAGGACAAGATAAAAAAGACCTTGAACAGGAAATATCTTTTGGATTATCATAGACGGGATAATTATATTAAATTCTATACTTCAGGCACGATAACTTGAGTGTGGAGGCCTATGTAGGTGAATTTGAGTAACTCATGTTAAAATGTGAAATTAACGAGGTTAGAGGAGCACACCCTTGATAGGATTTTAAGAGAATCGAGGTCCGAGATTATAAGTGTTGTGCAATTACAACAACATTGCATGTTGAATGATATTATGAAGTTGCTCTTAAAAGTAAAGCTTTATCGAAAGTCAATA